GAACTCCTCCTATGCCTGAAGAACTGGTTCTCAATCCAGTTAATGCATTAACAGATTCTTCCAAGCCATTGAAAACATGCACTTTGTTATGTTCACCACCTGTTGCACTTGCTTCTGCCTTCGGCCACGCTTAGGGATTATAACCCTTACTAAGTAGAATTCTCCTTTCTGTGTTGCCGGAGAAGAGGGGATTCCGCATGTCAAAGGTATACAACACTCCTTGTACATATCACCCGCCTACGCCATCCACAGTATTTTTACGCAGAACCCACGGCCAAATTTGCAAAAAAGTGCATAGTGCAAACCGAATCTATTAATAAGCTAGTGGTCGGAAATTTGAAACATTTATTTTAAATAAAATTTTAATCCTTTGATTACACGTGTATGTTAAAGTTTTTGGATTCGGGTTATGCGTTTGGAGACAACACCCGAAAATCATTGTACAAATAACTAAACCGAACTCAAGTTTCTCGGGGCAAGAAAGATTCTTTTTTGCTCGTTTATATAAAGCAGTGGATAAAAATATACGTATATATGTACGAAAGGCAAATTTATCTGTTTAAATGAACGCCACTAATAACACATCGATTTACATCTTTTATCTCGCCTCCGACACAGAATTGTTTTCGTACAAAATTACGCAAAAAAGCTTACTCGTTCGTTTTTAGGCATGCCATTGTTACGAATTTCGAATGCTCGAAGATACGATTCGGACTGCAGCATACTATTTCTACGATACCACGAAACAACTGAACGGAGACCCTTAATTTAGTCGGCGAAACGGTGGGAGCCGATTACTAAATTTCAATGCGGCAAATTTCAACCCTGAGGCCCAGTGTTAGCCTCGCGAAGGTTGGACAGTCTAAAAGAAAGTGTGGAGATGATTCCATCTCATCTTTCTCTTGACAGGTTATACAAAAGGAATGGGTTGAAATTCCTAGTCTTACCGTATGAATACCAATCGCACAATGGCCTGTCAGAACCCCCATCAGTAGCCCTTGAGAGGTAACGTATGTTTCGGCACCTCTAAGGGTAACGATTGGTCACTCGTGTCTTGCGCTGCGAAAAGTATTTTAAAGTGCCCCATAAAAAACATTTGCTGCAGCAGAGGTTTCTCTGCTCTGTCTTCTTGTCTTTTTTTATGTCACAGGGAGCAACGCTTTCTTTTTTTTTGTCCATTTTATTAGGCAGTGGAGTATGCAATTTCATTGTCGCGATTACGAAGTATGTGCTGGTTGAGCTAACGTTAGGCTCAACCATTCAAGAGTGTACCGTAGGAGAACAAAGGCGTCCTTATCTGGGGATAAAGTTTTAAGGGTGCCCTTCCAACGCCAGGTCATCAGCCACGAACTTTTCCGCGATGTTACTGTGACCCGGCCCTAATCTAGCCTTATTAAGAAGCACTTTGATGCGATTGATAGGGAGGTCACACATTTCTTTACCGATTTCGAGCGCACCATCACACTCTTTAGCGGTGAGTCTACCGCTTCCTTAATAGCAGCTATTTCCACCCGAAAGACACCGCAGAAGCCTGAGCATAGTTACGATGGAGAGTTATCGACAGAAAACACCTCCATCTCCTCTGTATCCAAGTGTTAATCTGTCCGTGAAGAATTTTACCGCTCCCTTCTTCGAGTAACCTAGCCCAACTCAGTCCCCCCTAACTTCCAAATTTTTGCCTAGATATTGAAATATATTACCACGAAATGCTTGCTCGATAATTTCGGCTTCCCCTAACTTTAAAGGTTTTTCCTATATATATACTGTATAACAAATTATACTCCCAACGCTAACAAAATAATTAGTAGATTGATTTAAAAAGTGGATATGTGGATCATCCGGTTCTGTATCAAGTTATTCTCTCTAACTTCAAAGCACTTCCATTTAAAAAGGGTAAAAACCTGGTTGCTGTCGACAATGAGCAAAAATGGATTGAACGGAAACTATAAATAAATTTATAGTTCAATTGTTTATTCCTTCGTCTTTATGTTTGCAATGATTATAAATTGTTAGTTTATCTTACAAAATTGCGGAAGAATACTACAGAGTATGCGGAAAAAAGTTTATTTTTTACATTTTTTATTTTGAATAACATCTGGTCCGGCTATTTGATTTACTATACAGGTATGTAGAGCTATGAATTTAAAAATTACATCAGGGTTAAGTTGAGATATTCGCTTTTGACCACTATGTTTTGTACATTTCCCAGTACTGCAAAGCTCTTGACTGCCATTCCCCTGGGAGTGGCCAGAAGTGATTCCTGTGCTTACGGTTTAAATCGCAGCTAACTACGTCCGGATATTTATATCCATGAATCCTCTGGGTAGCGACCGAAAGTTAGTTTGGGAGCGAGCTATAGTGGGATGGCGCAACACCCCGCGTGCGCTGGGTTTGGGTCCCGCCACGTTAAAACCCTGCCCAATGAAAAAAAACACATGCCTCGGATGATACCCCCTTCTTTTGATGACGATCACGGCAAACATAGGAAGGACTATGATTTTAGGCTATGCACCTGGAATATCCGAACCCTTAATCGGGATGGTCCCTCTGCCCGGCTGGTTGATGTCCTAGGGAAAATAAAGGCTGACGTCACCGCCATCCATGAAATGCGATGGACGGGGCGAGAAAGGTAAGCGTGGAGCCTTGCGACGTCTACCACAGTTGCCACGTAAAGGAGCGCAACTCGGTGTTGGATTTGTGGTGGGAGAGAGACCGGCATTCACTCTAGTGGACGAACATCTAGCCACACTCCGCATCAAAGCGAGATTCTTCACCATCTCGCTCATATGTGCTACTGCCCCGATGGGAGATAAGGACGAGGCATCCAAGGATCTCTTAGCTTAGAGCGTACATATTAGCGCTGCCCCCGACACGTATTAAAATCGTGCTTTGGCGCCAGGGTCGGAAAATTCAGCCTCCACATAGAAACGCCGGGCTGAGGCTGATCGACTTCATCGGGGCCCGAAACATGGTAATACGTAGTACTAGCTGCCAGTATAAGAACAACCACCAAGCTACATGGTTGTCTCCAGATCGAAAAACGGGAAACCAAATAGAGCATGTTGTGAGAGACAGAAGGCATACCTCCAGTTTTTTAGATGTACATACGTACACTCCGAGGGCCAAACATCGACTCGCAGCCAATATACGACCCCACCTCGGTGCAGCAAAAAGATGGCCCCCAACAATGCAAGGAAAGTTCAACGTCGAAAAGCTGCAATCAAACCAGACGGTCAATGGGTTCGCCGCTCGACCATCATACCTACTGTGAGAGAGCACTCTTCAACAAACCAACTTGCGCGAGCAGTAGAACCACATTTCCCGCTCATGGTCTCAGAAAGCCTTCTGGTCTCAGAAAGCCTTCTCCGAAGGGCTGACGGATGGAGAGTGATGGAAGACCTGAGTGGTAGCGACCACAACTACATCACCTTCCAAGTCACTGACATCACGCGAGGGCAAACACGTAGTATCCCTCGCAGGAAACCAGGATGGAACCCGTCTAGGGTCGATGTTCGCAAGTTCGATACGTAACTCCTAGCAGATTCCCAAGGCATTTCACCCACAACGGGAGAGATCCACAACAGGGAGTCTTGTACTAAGCTGGTCGAAGAAACGCTGCATTCACCGGGCATGCAAAGCCTCAATGCCACAGAGGAGAGC